CTTTTTTGAAAGAAGAAATACAAATGGCTGCTAGATACATAAAAGATGTTTAGCATCTTCGGCTCTTCCGGAAACCCAAATCAAAACAATACTGAGATTCCATCTTCAGAAAGAATGGCCATTGTCACAGCCTTAAAAAAACAAGGAAAGCTGGTGAGGGTGAGGGCAGAAAGGTACCTTTCTGCGTTGTTGGTGGAAAGGTAAACTAGTACAACCACTGTGGAAGTCAGTAGAGAGACTTCTCACAAAACTAAAACTAGAGATTTCATTTGACCCAGCTTTGGGGGATCTTTGTGAAAGAGTTAAAGACTTATTTCAGTGATCCATGCGAACCCAAGTTTGTAGTAGCACAAATCAAAATAGCTAAATCCTGGAAGCAGTCCATATGTCCATCCACAGATGAGTGGATAAAGAATATACAGTATTTACATGCAATGGAATACTATTCATTACGAAGGATAAATGGGAGTCATCTGTAGAAAAATGGATGCACCTTGATGTCATAATGTTAAGTGAAATAAATTAGACACAGAAAGTTAAATATTGTATGATTTCTCTTATATGAAGAGCCCACCATATGAATAAAGTATAGAAATTAAAAATGAGTGAGGTAGATTTTGTAGAAATGGGGAAGAGGAAGCAAAAGGCTAAGTTACAGTATGTGTATATAACAGTTTCTCACCATGAATGTAGATTTTGATGTAAACATATACTAATGAAAAAATTAGTTTTTATATTTATAAAAGAGAAAAGAAAATGGTGAGGCTGGTACTTTTTCCCAAGCAAGCCCCTTAGCCATATTTTGTGTTAAAAATAACAATCTGCAATAGAGCAGTGGCTTTCAGAAAAAAAAAACTTTTTTTTTTTGCACTGATTGTTCAACATTTTTTACATCAGTAAAATGTATCTGTGTTCACAACTGGAGTATATACATTGGTTATTTTTCAATTTTTACCTGTCAGTGTACTGTGTGACCACATAAAAACATACCCAAATATAAATTTTGCAAGGATGAGATAAAGATGAAAGACCATATTTTAAATACTTGCTAATCATCATGGTTTACTATCTGCAAATATATGAAGGCATAATACAGACAACGTTGGTGGCATCCACGGCAGCTGAAATGTGTCTCCCAGCTGTTTGGATAGCTTGTTTTGTGGCCGATGCTTTAGACTTGCTGAGGCAGCTGCCCCTCTGCAGACCACGGTCCACCCCGGCCCTTCTTCCTTTTACATCGTCCTTTCTTTCCTGACAAAGCCAGGAAAGTTCCGTGAACACTTTCCTTTTCTACCTCTGTCTATCAGAAATTGGGAGGCTGCGGCGGTCACTTTGAACACCTCCCTCCCTTGCCCTCTCAGCTAATGTCACCGTGCGCTGGGGACTTTCCTGCTCAGAAGTCAGCTCCTTTTATTGATGGCTTCTGCCATCTTGCTTCCTTCACCCCCTTTTCTCCTGCGCCTTCACCTGCACAGTCCCCTCTGTCTGGGGTGTTCTCTTTGCCCTCCTCACCCTGCCAACTCCTTCTCACCCCTCAAGCCCAGTGTAGATAGAGGTCTCTGCCTCAAAGGGATCTTCTCTGACTTCTGCCCAGGGCAAATATCCGCAGCACCTGGAACTTTCTTTCATGGCTCTTACCATAAGTTCATCTTTAGCTTTCTATGGGACCCATATGCTAAACATGTATAGGTCTTTTGCATCCTTGGTAAGTCCCAAACCTACCCATCCAGCACCTAGGTTACACGGTCTCTGTAAATGTTTAACACTCACACAACCCTATAAGGTAGCGATAGTCTCCCCCTATTTTACAGAGGAGAACACTGAAAGGCAGGATAATTGGTGAATAAATGGGGGAGTTGGTCTCACTTGCAGGTCTTTCAGATGGCAGCATGCACACTCTTTCCAGCCGGTCTGGACTCCTCCTTTAGAACCTGCTTGGGCCAAGGCCTGGTTTGAGGTCCCATCTTCCTTGGCAGTGCCAGGCCAGCCCTGGAGAGCAATTCTGCTTCTCCTGAACCAGCTTACTTTACACTTCCGGTCTGAGTGAACACACTTAACCCATGTTGTTCTGGACAGCACCACCAACCCCATGGTCCACATCCCTAAGTCTAACCCAGCTTGGGTGGATAGTAAAGCTGCACCGATGTCTTAAGTCCCAGGCCTCTGCAGGGGACCTGAGCATATTCCTATTGAGCGAATGGCTATGGATTAGCCAGTGGTAGGATCTTTTCAAAGGCGTTTTCTGACTTCCAAGCCCCCCTGATTTTGTGCCCACCTGCTCTGCAGCCAAGAGCAAGAAGACCACGCCTGGATTCAGAGAAGTCTTAACTGTTCCAATTTGCACTTGCTGGCCCTCTTCCTGGTAGATCTCAGTGTAACTTTGTCCAAGAGCCAAGAATGTGAGGGTCTTAGTACTATGAGTAATTTCATGAGTTGCTGATGGCTAATTAGGGGTGATTACAGTTAAGAGGCTTTATTTTCTTAACACTCCCAGAAAGAGCTGTTGGTAACTTTTAAAAATTTGGATATTTTTCCTTCCCCTGTGAATGGACCTGTCTGATACTCAGAACTGTTTTTGTGTAAATCCTTGCAGTTTCTCTCCCCACCCCAAAGTCCTGGGAAGAAGGCAAAAATCAGTGATCTTAGGAACCTGGCTTTGGGAGAGGGGTCCTGGCACACTGTGCAGCCCAGCTTCATGATTTGTCTTCCCTGCGAGGAGAAGCTGGAGGAGTCGGGGCTGGGCTTGCTTCATTCTCAGGTTCCATTGCAGTGCAGCCAAACTGCCCATCCCCGGCTTTGCGATGCTATTTATAATTTGCCTTTGAGCCCATTGGCTGGCTTGATGATTTTTAGAGATTGTTTAGTGGTGGTGTCTGAGCAAAGAGCTATTTGCAGGCAAAGGGCTTTGCTTACCTACTTTTACTGTGATAGCAGACTTTCAGTATGCTCGGTCTTCTGTCACATGCATGTCGTTGGCACTACCAATAGCCGATGGTCACTTTGTGATATGTTCCTGATTTAGTCTTCACAATGACCCATGGCAGGTGTTTGTGTGTGTAGTGTAGGGGATCAAACTTAGGGCCTTGTGTATGCTAGACAGGTGCTGTACAGTGAGCCAGTACTGCCCTAAGCAGTACTTTTAAAAGCAGTTTTATTGAGATACAACCCATATGCTGTACATTCCATCAATGTGCCATACTCAGGGGTACCTTGGTTCAGGAACTTAACTCGTTCCATGATTCTGGGGAAAATGGCAGTATTCAAGTTTGTCACCTAATGCAGAATTCTCTAAAGGAAGCAAACTTTTGCCCAATACTGTTTGGAGGAAAATTGTTCACAAACAGAAGCATTCATGAACTGAAGCATTACTGTACAATTTGGTTAGCAAGCAAAGCCTTTGGCAAAATTTTGCTTTTGTTTGCTGTTGTAGTTAGGGGCTGTGCAGAGAACAATTAGAATCAGGACATGGGGTTTATAATATTTTTATAATGGTCACCGGGCATTAACACAAGAAAATGCAGGAACTCTATCTGCAACACCGAAGACATAGAATATTTAGTCAAGAGCCTAAATCCCACAGCAGTGTCCCACATGAGTCCACATAAAAACCCCAGAGCTCAGGACAATGCCTCCCATGAGTCTAACTGGAGGTCCAGAGCCCACAAGAAGGACTCGCACCAGTCTCTTTTACGGATCCGTGCTGGGAAGGCCAAAGGTCAGTGGTGGAAGCCAGAAAGTCCATGCCAGCGGGGTGAAGGAGCTGTGCTGGTGGGATGAGGGTTTTATGCTGGAGCCGAGAAGTCACACTCACAACAAAGACCAGGGCTGTCCTGAGAGGCACCACAGTCATCCTCGGTGACACGGAGCCATCGAGCTCCTCCAATGACAAGCACAGTCGGGTACATGCCAGGAAGCAGCGTGACGAGTTCATCCTGGAGACCAGGCAGCACATGTCTTCCCCTCTGGAGCCAGGAAGCAATGCTCAATGTGAAGACCAAAGCTTCTCCAAGAGAATCTAAGACTCAAACAGTACTTGTAGGAGAACCCACAATGCCTCAACGCCTCAACCACCTCCTCCTTCTCCACCTCTTTATATATGCTGGCAACTTTCCTCAGGTGGAGCATCTTCGCTCAGTGCCATGCTGATATAATCCAGCTGGCGTTAAGTTGATCATCAGTTCTTAATCCTTAACATTTGTAAACACTACATTGGTTAACAAACATGATCATGCCCATCTTTCCTGCACAGACGCAGATGTGGCCCTCTTTTCCAAAATCATGGAACAAAGGTAAGCTTGTGAACCAAGATACCACTGCAATTCAGTGTTTTTTAGTACATTCACAGCATCATGCAATCATCAGTATTAATTTTGGATCATTTTTGTCACTCCAGGAAGAAGTACTGAATCTTTTCATTAACGCCTCCCCTAACCCCTAGCAGCCAGAAGTCTGCCCTGTCTCTATAGGCTCACCTATTCTGGTTATCAGAATGAAATCATATGAAGTCTGCCTTTTTGTGTCTGGCTTCTTTGTCAGTGTATAATGCTTCCAAGTTTCATTCATGTTGTCGTACCTGTTATATGAGGACTTCCTTTCTTTTTAATGTTAAAGTATTGTTCCCACAAGGCACCACTGGGGAAACTGAGGTACTGTATGTGCACATGCAATGACTTTCTGGGGTTAAGTAATCTGGAACGGAGGGAGCTGGATTTGTAGTGCTGTTTCGCCTAATGCCAATTCCCCTGTCAGCTTGGAGTCATGGGTAATCATCCTGAAAATAACGCACTGACTGTCTTTTGTGGGTCAGGTACTGTGCTGAATGAATGTTCTAGAAACTTGTCACCTCATGTTCCTATGCAATACCATAATACCATAGCTGGCCAGTGCCATTTTTGTTTTAGTGTCTTTTTTTTTTTTTCACTTCTGGTCTGTTGGTCTGCTTGGACTGTAGCATATGCCTAAGCAAGTGATGCTAAAAATAACGTTGTTTGTTTCTGTAGGGGTTGAACGCCACTCCCACCTGCAGAACGTTCCCAGGAGCCCTTGCCTTAGTCTGGCCCGGTGGCATCATGGCCTCTCGTTTCGTGGGCTTTCTTGGGTAAGTGAAGAACCTCTTAAAAACAAAGTGGGAGGTGGGGACACAGCTTAATGGTAGAGCACTTGTTTAGTGAGACCACCCGAGTATGAGCCCCAGCATGGCAGGAAAAAAACAATGCAAAAAAACACACGGCAGAATATGGAATTTGGTATTTGTATTTGTTGTACAGTTTCTTAGAGTGATTGGTTTTCAGGGCATGCATCCCATTGGTGTCTTTGTAGAATTGTACGAGAGTTTGCCAGGCCCAGGAGCTCCGTGCTGTGGAAAGGGAGGGACCCAGACAGCTTGTATTTTATGCCAATCTCTGCTAGTTTCTGGGAGACCTTCTTTAGACCTTGACCAAAAGACATTTTTTAAAACTAAAAATAGTACTAGCTCCCTGGGTATTTACTATGGTTTATATAACAGTTTTGAAGAATATTTTAAAATATTCGTTATCACCCCCATTGATCTCGCCTTAATCAGCTGGGGTTACTAAAAGATGTTGCTTCTCTCTAGTCCCTCCTGCTCAGAACTTCTGTGACTTTCACCCGCATTTTAAAATTTGATCCAAGCTTGTGTTATAAGTCAATCAAGAGCTATTATTCCTATTATGTAGTTCAGTAACTCAGTGGTCAAAGAACTTAAAGTCAGGGTTGTCACCTGCTCCTCAGACTAATCTATCTTTCTCTTTCTTTCTTTCATTTCTTGGTACTGGGGAGCAAACTCATGCATACCAGGCAGATGCTTGTGCTGCTGAGTTAAATCCCCAGTCCATATTTATATGTGTATGTATGTATTTATTTAAATAACTTCAAGATGGACTTGAACTCACTATGTCGCCCCGACTAGTCAGGAACTTGAAGCAAGCCTCCTGCCTCTGCCTCCTGAGTGCTAGGATTATGAGTATGCACCACCATGCCTGTTACCCCTCAGACATTTCAGAAGCCGACAGGTTTTTAAAAATTCCTTGGTCAAAATTCTATAAAATCTCAATACATAAACTAAGCAATGGTAGTATTGAATATAAATTTACCGTAAGTTCAAATGTATAATATTTACACCCTATGAGATCATTGAGTGAGTTGTGATAAACACCAAAGTTTGAACTGAGGACTTTGGGATGATAGCTTCAACCTCTGCCTCAGCAGCTTGTTTATTTGCACGTCTTTTAGCTACACTAGTTTGAGACAATCCTTATCTATCCAGGTAAGAATTGAATTGTCGCACCTGATAACAATTCTGCACAGACACAGATGTGGCCCTCTTTTCCAAAACTGTGAAACAAAATTTACCTTGCAATGATGAACTTTACCTTGCAATCTTGGGAAGGTCTTTAAAGATATGAACTCACAATCAGAACAGAAGGGAAAGCAGAAGAACCTGCTGTTTCAAAGTTGAATCATGAAGAATATCTTATTGTCTTTCTTTCCCATAACTACATGTAAGCTTCAAATGCCTAAAACTTACAACACAGAGGCCTACAGCGTGTCATTATGACTCTGCCATATACAATGGTCTGACCAGGCTGGAGCATTCACTAAACAGATGCTGTTGGGCCTGTGCCTGGCATTTCATTGAGTGTAGTGCTGGTGTGTGTTTTTATACATCATGGCTTCTGTAATCTTGTGGGAGCAGACTTGTGCAGGACTGAAATACATAGTCACAGAGAACCACAAACATCTTCATCAATACACCGTTACACGCGTGTCAGATATGACCAGAGAGACAGGAAAATCTTCATTCTGAGGTCTGCATGATATTTAACCATCGACAGTTGGGGTTAATGTTTGGGGCTCTCTTCAGGGTGAATATTTGATATCTAATATAAATGATCATCTGTGGACTTTTAAGCCACTGTTTCAAAAATTTGAGAAGATATTTCAAAGCACAAAATAGCACTAGCTGTTCCAAAGTACATCTAGTTTGTGGAAGCCCTGGAGTGCTGCTTGCTGCAGCAGCACAGGACGGTGAGAAAAGCAGCTGGATCCCTGGGTCACTTGAGGACCACAGTGTATGACAGCCCTAGTACCCAGTGGGCACAAAGAAGGTCACAGATACGGAACTGAATCAGAAAGAGCAAGCATAGGCTAAAAGACGGTGTAAACCTGGCTGTTGTCAAAAAGGCTCCCAAGAACGCTTGAGGATCCCCAAAATTTGTGGCCAGCCGGGCTGCACGGGAAGTAGGCAGTGTTGTCCTTTATGTCCTGAAACTGGAACCGATGTTCCTACAGTTAACCTCCTTCTTCGTGGCCTGAGCACAGCGTATGGTGGTGGTAGTGGGGACAGCTCTCTTTGAGGGGGCACCTGGTGGGCTCCCCTCCAAGCTGTGCCTTGTTATAGAGAGATCGCCACAGCCTGGGCCAGTAGCAGGGTGGGAGTAACAGAAAGCTGAGTGCGGCCTTGTTCCCCTGGTGGCAGAGTTCCGGAGTCTAGACGCCTCTCCAGCCACAGGGTCTTGCAGAGGGGATGGTTTGAATGGGGTTGCTCAGCAGGACGGATCAGGGCTGCAGAGAGGAAGTGGGGAGCATAGAGTGGGTTTTTCTATGCTACATCTCAACTGGACATTTCCACCAAATCACCTTCTTCATAAACCAAACACACAGGAACCCTTTCGCGTCTCTTTTTAGGGCTACGTAAATATATTTTAACCAGATACAAACAAACAAATGATAAAAAGGCTCTGACTCCCTTGTCTTTAAATGCTTCGCAGAATGTTCTGGGGAAAGAGGGCATGATTGCTTTTAAGAGTAAGAGGTCTTCGACAAAATTGGGAGATGAGAAACACACACCTACCAAGAGATTTCTAATACTTATCAATGCAACCAAACTCGTAAAGATCAATTGGAAAAGCTGCAGAATTTTTCTATGTATAGAAAAAGCAGGTTGCAATGAGACGTTAGCTGCCAAGAAATTCCCTGAGTGGAAAAAAATAAAAACATTTAAGGAGATTCACAATTCCGATATGCAGAGATAGTCTAAAAATCTCTTATTGTTTTTGCCTAGCTGTCGAGGATCAGAGAGCCAGCTCCCCTCTCACTAAAAGAGAAAGTGAAGCCCTGAGTGTTACCTCAGTAAGAGCACCTCTGCCTCGCTCAGTGGCTGCCTGAGCAGCCTAATAATAAAGGAGCCCAGCAAACTCAGAAATAGGCATGAAGCAGAAAAAGGCACGAAGATTTTAACTCTCTACAAGCCAGTTAGCAGGTTGTTAAGTCTTGGATAAACTCAGGGAGCCATGAAAAATTCATGGCTTCTAAAACCTGTTTAGACCAAAGGGTAGACCCAAGCTTGATGAAATGTTTGTCATCTGTGACAAATTAGAGAGGAAATGGTACTAAATGATACAGAAGTGTTTACACTTCATAAAGACTTTCTCCAAGTCATACGCTTTTCTTTCTCGAGGGCACCGTTGAGCCTCTGTTTGTTTGTTCAGTGACTGATTGAAAGGCAACACAATTTTCTCACTACAAACAGGGCTACCTAACTCCGCCAACCAGGAGGAGCTCCTGGCTGCAAAGTCAGCTTCTCTTCACTGCCTCTCAGCTGGCTTCAGTGGAGCTGACTATTTTATGTTTCCAGTGAAAACATGGAAGAAAACAAAACCATTAAATGCCAAAGAGGTGGCAAAAATGGCAGGAAATAAAACTGATTTGGCGATTGGTAGTTTTGAACGGTAGTTTTTGAAGAAATAATAGATGTAATTAGAGCGATTACCGAGTGAGTTGGTGATTTTTACAGATCTTTGGAAGAAAGAGAGTTCTGGATCATTTTAAGAGTTTTACTGTTGATGGCCTTAGGTTAAGTGTCTGGTTTTTGCCTTTGAAAACTTAAAGTTTTTCCTTTCCTTGATATATACTCAGTAAAATGTTATTACTTTAATGCCGGTCAACTTAGAAACATAACCAAAAGGGAAGGAGGGAATGGGAATAGAGAAGTGGAAGACAGAAAGCAAGAGAGAAATGAGCTGAGAAAATGGGTTTGATGTGTGAGAGAGAAAATTGAAGATATTGATATTTGAGGTGTGATCAGTTAGGGGAAGTGAAACCTTACCTAAGGGCAGAGCAAGATGTGATAATTGGAAGAGCTGTGGGGCCAACCAGTGTTCCTTCGCCAGTGATCAAGAAATGGGGAGAAGGAGGAAGGTAGTGATGGAAAGAGGAGGGAGTGCTTGGGCAGGGAGAAGGAATGCAAGGAGCAGTCCTGGCCTGGGTCAGAAGCATGGGACATGGGGGTATTAATAAAGCAGGATTTGTGCAGCTGGCACACAATGCGCTACTCAGTTGATAATAAATGTGTTAAATGCTGAATGAATACATTAATAATTACCTTTTAAATTAAAGAAAGTTAACATGTGTGTTTCCTGATGATTAACTAGTTTAATTGCAAAAGTAGGTTGCAGCATGGAAACCCATACGAATGACACACACACACACCTTTAACAGTCCATTTTTAACTTAAAACACGTGTATATTCACTCGCCAATTGTTTGATGAGCAGCCAAAGCCTTGTCTGCAAGGCACACAGCCCTGATTGTCTTTCTTGCGCAAACCACACCCGTATATACTGTCTGAGGTTTCCACTTGGGTTTCTTGAAAGCAGGGTGAGAATTTCAAGACATTTGCAAAGGAAACTGAGCACAGAGCAGTTCTAGATTTTTTTATTAGTGCCTCTAATCATTTGGTTGTCTCATCCACACCTAATATGCCAGCAAATTTCCCCCTTGGCTGCCTGCCTCTATTGAATCTTTCTACAGCACTCAACTAACAAGTCCTCTTCCTTCCCGGGCCAGTTTGTCAGTATGTGTGGGTTTGTGTACTATCTGAATATGCTGTGAAATTACAAAGCTCAGGCAGCCAGCATACACAGGATGGGGACATGGGTGACGTGAGAAATGCCCCAGTACAATGTCTAGGGCCCATCCATGGGATTCTGATGGAAGCCATCGGAATGGGAGGCTCGGAGCTAGGAGGAAATCAGACAGATCTCTGGAGCAATGCCCTGACAAACTCCTACTTATAAAA